TCTGGCCACTACCAAAAGCCCTGGGGCACCTGAAGCATGCCAAGAACCCCTCCAACCTACACAGCTTAAATGCTTGAAGACAATTGTCCCTGCATTTCTACCACAACCCATCCAAGTCTTCTCCTGGTTAAATAGACCCGGAACAAATCCCTGGAAGCTCCTCGAGGCCAGACTGGATCCTCAGACTAGCACACGGCCTGGGTGGTTTTTCTGGGGGGATGGTGTGCAAGTATTTAGACAAAGCTTGCTTAGTCTCCCCTATTTCTCCCCTCCCCCCACCCTTAGCCCCCGGCAATGATTGGCCTGTTTTCTGTTCTGATTTTTTTTTTTAGAATGTCATGTCAGTAGAATCATACAGTACGGGGCCTTTTGAGTCTGGCTTCTTTCACTAGGCATTTGAGATTCACCCATGTTGTATGTATCTGCAGAAGCTTTTTATTACTGAGTAGTAGCCACCGTATGAATGTACCACCTCACCACGTCTATTCCCCATTCACCAGGTAAGGAGCAACTAAGGGTCTTCCAGATTGGGGCTATTACAAATAAAGCTGCTACCATCTTTCACGTAGAGGTTTTTTTGTGAGTGAAGGTTTTCCTTTCTCTTGGGTAAACACCTAGGACTGGGATTGCTGGATCATATGGTAAGTGTTTATAAGAAACTGACAAACTATTTTGTCTTGTGGCTGTACCATTTTGCACTTCTACCTTCAATGTATGAAAGTTCAAATCATTCCACACCCTTGCCAGCTCTCGGTATTGTCAGTTTTTTGTTTTTGTTTTAGTCATTCTCATAGGTGCATATGGCATCACGTTGTGGTTTTAATTTCCCTAATGACTAATGATGTACATTTTTGGTGAGATGTCTGTCAAAAGTTTTCTGCTCATTTTTCAGTTGTTTTATTTCCCTCCCTGCTCCATTATTAAGTTTGAAGAGTGCTTTACATATTCTAGATACAAGTCCCTTATCACACCTGTGATTTGCAAATATTTTCTCCTAGTCTGTGACTTTTCGTTCTCAACAGTGTTTTTCAAAAGGAAGCTTCTTCAATTTTGATTCAGGGTGTAAACCAGATGATATCTGTCCTCTGCTTGGTTTCCCATCACAATGGGGATAAAATCCACACTCCTTCTCTGTCCTATAGATTTTGCCATGATCTGGGCTCCATTGGCCTCTCCCCATCACGCCCTCCCCCCACTCAGCGTGTCCCCACGGCACGCTGCCTCCTTTTGTCCTAACACTACACTAGCTCATGCTGGCCACAGGGCTTTTGCACTCATAGCTCCCTTCCACACACCTCTGCCCCCCAGCCATCCGGGCCTCAGCTCACATGCCACCTGCTCAGAGAGGCCCTCCCTGACCACACTCACCAAGAAGCGTGTAACCCCTCCCCCATCATACTGGTTTTATTTTCTGCATGTCACTGACCATTACTGGGAAACGTCTATCGGTTCTCCAGAATGCAGGCCCTGTGGGTGTTCCTTTGTCTTGCTCTCCACTGTCTTCTCAGTTACTACAACTGGTGCCTAGCAGAGTGGGCCCTCCACATAATGCTTTAAACGAACGAACAGCAAAGCTTAATTCCCTTTCATGCTCCTTATCACAGTTATGAAAGTGCCCCAGTCTGCCCAAAGTCCTTTGAATTAATCCCAGTCTTCTGGGCAGAGCCAGCTGAACTCAGAATCATAGAGGACTTATACCTCCCTCATCCTGGCGGCTCCTGTTAATGCGTCCTGAGAAAACATTCCCTTAAGAGGTGGACATACCATTGCTGATACAGACCAAAGCCTATCAGGATCCAATCCTATCTCCAATACTTTTATCCCCACAACAGCACTTCTCGGTCCTACAGGAAGCTAAATCCCAAACTTCGAATTTTCTCAAGACCTCTCCACCCATAGTCCCTGCACCTGCACACACTGGTTTCCCCAAGTCTCCCTGCGTGACCTCAAATGAAATACGGCCATGAGGACCAGCCAAGATCCCAGCAAGAGCAGAAACTGGCTAGGCCTTGTTTCCTGCTGCCCCACCATAACCCCCAAATGTCATCCCAGGGAAATATCACACTTGCCTTTTCCACCCAACCAGGGCCTTCAGCCCCAGCTGTAATGACAATGAAATCTTGAATGCCTGAAAAACCCTCTTCTCGAAAATCAGAAAATTGCTATTCAGCTTCCTTAACGAAAACCCTTATTTGCATAGATTTGGCATTGCTACACTTCCACATTTAAATGGTCTCTAATTAAAATCATTAATTGCAGAAAATAGTGACTCGTTAGGGATGTAATTTAGTGAGGTTCTCATCACTTGAGAATCTGACTTAAAGGTTAACAGGGTGATCCAAGAAACCACCAGCTCCCATGAACCATTCTAGCGTCAGGTGAGGTCCAGAGCCCAAGGCAGGTGGCACCAAAGTGAGACCCAGTTTGAAACTGGCAGCTTCCTTACAGTTCTGCATTTGTGAGGTTGGCCTATGGCACAGTGATGCCGATAACACTCGAAGAAGGCAGGACTGGGAAACTGCTCTGGGAAAAATCTTAAAGCCAACAAAGAAGACATCAGAAAGTGAGACCCAGTTTGAAACTGGCAGCTTCCTTACAGTTCTGCATTTGTGAGGTTGGCCTATGGCACAGTGATGCCGATAACACTCAAAGAAGGCAGGACTGGGAAACTGCTCTGGGAAAAATCTTAAAGCCAACAAAGAAGACATCAGTCACCCCTCTCTTGGTGTCCAGGACAATGCAGGAGGACCAGGCAGGGGCTGAGCAAGTCCAGTTTAAGTAAATCACAGTTTATACGCACCAATGGTTTTCTAAAAAGCCTTTGCTGTTGAGCTATAAAAAGCCTCATCCGTCAGGGGACCCAGGGCCTATTTTGGTAGCTGGGCCATGCAGGTAAGGCAGGTAGGGAAGGCGGGCTGTGCACACTGCACTTGGGAGAAAAGACACACAGCCAGCATTCGAGCAAGGAGGCCTCCTGGAAGGCAGGCGAGGCAGGCACTGGCACCAATCCCCTTTGGCACTGGCTCCTAGCTGTCCCATCACATCCCCTGGGCTCACAGGCGCAGGCCCAGTTTGTGGACCAATAGAGAAACAGCAGTGGGCCCCAGGCACGGCCACTACTCAATGGTGGCCTTTTGGAAGTGGAACACTCTCTCTGTTCCTGGGTCTGTAAAACTGGATCCATAACTCTGTCCCACACTGTGAGAGCAGAATGAAGGCTGCACGGACAATGCAAGAACTTATGGGAACTCAAAGGGGCTGCCAGAATGATGAAAAGGAGCAGTCTTTCCAGCGAACCACCAGGGCTCTCTTCAAGGTCAGAGGCCAGGTCCGAGCTGGACAGATAGGACAGGCCCAGGCCTGGCAGTGCAGGTGGGCTGCAGCAGGGTGAGAAGGGGCCTACCTTGCAACAGGCCACTGTTAAGCCTCCAAAGAGGGGCACCACTGCTGACACCCAAGTGACTTGATGGCTGTGCCCTAGGTGGGTGGTGGTGGGAGAGCGCAGACATAGCACTTGCATGGCTATGAGGGAAGGGTGCTGCTGGGTGCGTAATGCACACTTGTGGGCCAATGGTGTGTGCAGGTCCTCAGTGCTGCTGACAAATGCCAGCTCCCCTCTCCTTCCAGGCAGAGGGTGGCACTCCCCTTCCTCGCCCCCTCTGAGGTTGGACTGGCCGCGTGACTGGCTCTGGCCAATACGATGTGAGAGAAAGTGATGTGTGTCATTTCCAAGCAGATGCTTGAAGAGCTGGCATGTGAGTCACTCCCTCTTCTACCTGCCTCAGAAACAGGATAAACACAGACACTCTGTGGGCCCAGGTCCCTGAGTATCATGAACAGAGTCCCTCCCCTGCCACCTGCCTGGATATATCACATGAGCAACAAATAAATCTTTGTTTTAGCACACGGAAACCAAGAGGATGTTTGCTACCGCAGCATAACCTAACCTGTACCCTTCCTCATAACAGTGGTATTCTTGGTATGTGGTGTGTCGGCAAGTCTATCCATGTGTACTTATGGTATTTCTGTGGATGCAAGTGTGGTCCTCTTTGGGGGTGTAGTGTTATGTTGTGTGTGTGTGTCGTATTCCTCTGTGTGTATGTAGCGTAAATGACACTCATAAATGACGTTTCTGTGAGTACGCACGTGTAGTAGGAACTGTGTGTGTGGAACGTCCCTTTGTGTGTGTGATGCTACTGACTGTGGACAGTGTATATGTGATTTTTCTCTGTGCGTGTATGGTATTTCTAGTGGGCATGTGACCTCTCCAGCATTATAAGAATTGCTTGCAAAAACCAGTGGGAGAGAAAGCAGTTTCACCTGAGCACAGATCTTGGTCCTCAGAGAAGCAGTAACAAGTGAGAAGAGAAGGGGCCCATGGGACACCACGGGAAAGGGCTGCAGGTGCTCAGGGAGGTCCACCACAGCAGCTTCCCTTCACAAGGGTCCTCTCAGCTACCACAGACCTGGATGAGCATCTGCAGAAGCTGGTCCAGGCCACAGTGCCCCACCTGGGGGCCCCTTCCTCTGAGTTAGGGCCAACCAGGCATCCATTGCTCTCCCTTTTCTGGCTTTCTTGGGCAGAGCTGGAGGGTCCAAGGCCCCAGACTCAGCTCCTGGCCCTTCACAGCCCAGTACCCAGTCACACAGGCCACATGGGCCACTAGTCACAGAACCAAAGTTTAGTCAAATATTATCACCAATATAGGTGGGAAAATGGGATCCCCAAGAGGCAAAGGGACTTGCCATGCAAACACCACACATGAAAGCCTTCTGACTCCTGCTCCAGATTGGTCCTGCTTTGGTCCAGCTCTCCTGAGAACACTGGGCGAGCAGAGGCCAGGGGCTGACATCCCCTGCCATGCAGCCAGGAGGGCAGCCACCGGCTCCAGCCCCACAACACAAGACCCCACCATCTTGGCTCAACCCCATGACCTCCAGTGCCAATGGGGGAAGCCGATGAACACAGGAGGGGCATGTGCAGTGACGTGGGCCCTCACCTGCAGCTCGGTCTGGAAGAAGAACTTCTGTGGGCACTGCGAGCAGTCATAGATCTTGTCCTCCTGCCCATGCACGGCGAAGATGTGCTGCTGCAACTTGTTGGCCTGGACGAAGACTGGACACAGACATGGCCATCAGGGGCCAAACTCAGGACACCAGCCCGGCTACCCGTGGCAGCTGACCCCATGACACCACTCAGAAGGAGGGATCACCCAGGCATGGGCACAGTCAGCCAAACAGGGGGCTAGTGGGAACATGATTAGCACTGACTAGCAGGTGCTCTAGCTAGGTAAGCTGAATTCTGCCACTTAGTGGCTGTGCAACCTTAGGCAAGTCACTTAACTTCTCTGGGCTTCATTTACTCTTTTGAAAAATGGAGATTATAGTATGTACCTCACTGGGTGGCTGGGAGGATTGAGTGGGTTAATACTCATCAAGTACTTAAAAGATGGGCTGGTACATAGTTAGGCCTCCTCTTCCTCCTCTGCCAGACACCTGATGATGTATGAGCTCCTCAAATCCCCTACAGGCCTGTAAGGCAGGCACTGTTGCTATCCCCACTTTATAGAAGAGAAAACTAAGGCATCAGGAGTCTTAAATGACTTGTCCAAGGTCCCACCGCTAGCAGGTGGCAGAGCTGAATTTGAATTAAATAAGCTTAGCACAGTGTCGGGGACAAGAAGCTGATCAGCCCACAAGAATTACTACTCTGTTGGTGAGGCTGTTGTCAGCATAGCAGGCACTGTTGCTATCCCCACTTTATAGAAGAGAAAACTGAGGCATCAGGAGTCTTAAATGACTTGTCCAAGGTCCCACCGCTAGCAGGTGGCAGAGCTGAATTTGAATTAAATAAGCTTAGCACAGTGTCAGGGACAAGAAGCTGATCAGCCCACAAGAATTACTACTCTGTTGGTGAGGCTGTTGTCAGCATCCCTGGGCCCACAAACAGAGGCCCCTGTGTCCTGGATGGACAGACCCACAGCTGGGGCCTCTCGATGCCAGCCCCCACCCAGCCCACAGAAGGGAGCCAATGGGCAGGGGCTCCTGGAATGAGAGGAAAGAAGGCACCAGGGTGTTTCAGGACTCTTGGGAGGCCCACAGCACAGCCCCCTCCCCAGGCCTGCCAGAGAGCAGGTCATAGCCCTGGCTTCCCGGTGGCAGGGGTCCCTGAGGCAGCCCAAGCCCCGGGCGCACACAGGAGGCAGTGCTGAAGCAGCTGTGTGTCTGGGAGGTGAGCGCTTCAGAGATGCCCTCCCGCCAGGCGCTCTCCCCAGGGTGGGCTTCCCGCAGTGGCAGACGGCAGATGTCGGGGGAGGCAGGGAAGGCCAGGCTCCCCCACGCACACCGGCTGCCATCTGGGCAGCAGGAGGGGGCTGGCAGAGCCCCTGAGACTCGCCTCAGGCCGAGACAGCCGCTCGCCTGGGCCGGCAGCCCGTCTGGGGGCTGGGGACTTGGCCGACAGAGCTGCCCTTGACCCCTCCAGCCTGGAGCACGGATGGAGCACGGGTAGGCACAGGGCACATGGGCAGGCCAGGGAGAAGGGGGAATTAGGAGTGTGTGAAGGGGGAGCCCCCACTGGTGCTGGACACAGCTCGCAGCTCAGAGAGACAAATGTGGAGCCCAGGAAGGGAAAACTGCAACAGAGGGCTGAGGTGGACAAAGGACTTCCAGCAGCGGCGTGCAGAGGGCTGGGAAAGGGGGCCAGCCAACCTGCCTGAGAGGAGAGGCCAGAGGGCACAGTTCTGCATGAAGTGGGACAGGGCAGTTGGTCTGTTGATCCCATGGGGCTTCCCCCATGAAATCCTGGGTCCACATGCCAGGCACACGCTGGGCACCTTACCTGTGAAGCAAACCGGGCATTTGAAGGTGCCGCCCATGCCCTCGAAGCTGTGCTCGATGAGGTGACAGAGGAGCTTGGCCGGGGAGTCAAACATCTGGTTGCACAGCTTACACTCGTGGTTGATGCCTTCCTCTGCAAGGAAAATCCACAAGCAGTTAGTGACCCTGCAAGCCACATCTCCAGGCAGGAGCCCACGAGGCCCCGGGTTCACCCCGGCACCAGCCCCTCTCTCATCCCAGGAACCAGGGCTGGTGCAGGAGCCTCGGACACCAAGACTCCTCCTGGCTCCGGATGGCCCAACCTCAGAGGCTTATGACCCTAGGTGTGGCTCCAAATTTCTGGCTCTTGAATGTGCTGTTTGCTATGATTTCCTCTGCTGGCTAAATATCCAATCAAGTATTTATTGAGCATGTACTATGTGCCAGGAAGTTTGCTATGAGCTGGGGATTCTTGGGGAAACTAAACAGATAACGTCCTTGCTCCCATCTGGTGGCAAGGGAGATAGATAATAAATTAAAGTGACCAGCACATAATACAGCATCAGGAAGTGATGTGAATATGTCAGGGGAGCACTCTAGGAGAGGGGTGAGTGAGGGCAGAGGCCCCAAGGTGGGCCCGTGCTGAGCCATCTGAAGCGTGGCACAGGGACAGTGTACCTGAGGCTCAGAGGGCCAGGGAGTGGGTAGGGAGGGCAGGTAGAGAGGCCATGCAGATGCACATCTCGAAGGGTCTTGTCAGCCACTGGAGGACTTTGGGATATGACCCTAAGAGTGATGGGCAGCCACTGGAAGATATGTCAAAAAACCAAAATGCTCTTTTTTTAAAAAAATTGTTTTAAACAGATGGCCTACCCAGTAGATAACAGACAATGGGCAAACTCCCTGCCTTGCTCCTAGATCACAACATGGTTCCATCTCCCCCGCAAGGAGCGGCCACAACCCAAACCTTCACTCAACAGAACCTGCCCGAGCGCCAGTGTCAGGCGAATGTGGAGGAGGCATGGAGTGGAGGCCTGACGGGCGACCTTGCCCAGAACCGAGCAGAGCTGAGTTCACGTCCAAGCTTCTCCTCCACCACATGCCCTGGGCATCAGTTCATGCTCGATAAAATGAGGACGACCTGAGCCCCTGACCCAAGGGATATTAGAGGATGGAGGGGCCAGCACCTGCAGCCCATGTGGCCCAGTGGTCAGAAGTGGTTGGTGGGGAGTGGCCCGGCTTGAGCATCATGTCACCTGGGGTTGAAGTCCAGCTCTGTCACTTCCTGGGTGATCTTAGGCAAGTTACATAACCTCTCTGTGCCTCACTTTCCTCTTTCTGAAACACTCAATAACAGCCTTCCTCTTATAGTTGATGTAAGAATTAAGTGAGTATTAATACAGATAAAAGGGTTTTAAACAGCTTCTGGCACACAGCAAGTGCTCAATAAGTGTTTATTGCCAGGCATGTCAGTATTGGTGAGAGTATTATCTGGGACAGCCAAGGACATGGTCTCCCCCTCAGACTCCCCCAGGGAACCAGCCTCACCAAAGGTGCCAGGTGCTCTGATTTGCCCTTAAAGGCAAGAATTAGGTAGCAGAGGGGTTCTGCTGGTGGCAAGACATGAACACAGATGGGCTGAGGCTCCTGGTGAGTCCCTGGGTCCCCAGGCCCTGGCAGGGGCTGGCAGGGACAGCAGGCATTCCCCCTGGCACAGCCATCCCCCACGCCCCCAGGCACCCCACCACAGAGGCGCACAAACACACGTGCGCGCGCAGGTGAGCCTGCCCCACATAGCCCACTGGCTGGAATCTACCGGGTGTTTGTCATGCCCCTGGAGCCCCGGCAACTAGGCCACATGCACCCGACAGAGATTCAAACAGATCTTCCATTTATACTAGCGGAAAAGGAATTCATCGACAAGTTTGGGGAAGCAGGGTGGGCTCAGCACGCTTGACACACAGTTCCCACGCACGTCCTCCACTTCCCTGGGGGAGATATTCATCATAATTAGAAATGGCCTCCAATGTGGGGGGGCTGCCTCAAAAGACCCCCCAATACATCCGCTGCTCCTTGCACAAACAACACCCCTCAGAGCATGGTACAGAGTATGGGTTCAAGGAATGAATGAATGAATGAAACACCACCCTTAATATGTGGCCCTTCTATTAGAATATGGACGCCCTTTGGACATTAATGAGGAAGGGGATACATGAAAATGACAACTGTGAAGAGTTTTCTATCATAGTTTATAACATATTTGAATCTCAGAAATAACCCAGCTTGCTGGAAAAACCACATTTCTAGGAAAAAGAAATGAGTTTGGAGAATTTAGACCATTTGCTAAGGTAACAGAGCTGGGAGTGGTGCTCTGAACAGGATACAAAACTATCCCTATAAATACGTATCCCACCCCCACCCCTGGGACACATACCACTTCCAGGCAGCTTCCCTGACTACACACAGACACAGACACACACACACACAGACACACACACAAACACACACACACACACACGACTCCCCTTTGCTGGGCACAGTGACACTTGATTCATTTAACCATATGCTATGAGTCTTTCTGATCCTGGCAACTAGGTTATAGGCATGGATGATGTCTTCTCCTCCTACAGTCCCCAAAGTATCAGGCCCCACCTGGGCCCACCTGCAGAAGAGGCTTGGAAATACTCATAGAGGAGAGGTGCCCCTGGGCTCGCCTCTCCGTCTGCCCAGCCAGAGCCAGCTCTGGGGGCTGAGGTGGCAATGGAGGATTTACTGCTCTGCTGAGCGGGGGCCTTTAACCACTTGGCTGTGAATGGAGACGTGCCAGTCTGATACACAAACACCGAGAGGACAAAGAAGCCTCCTGCAACTTATAAATCAGAGAAATCATGTCTGACAGTCACTTTCCGTTCTCCGAGTGCTGAGCATTCATCAGCCGGTCCCCCCTGATTTATAGACACAGCTACACCCAGCGCCCACGTTCACAAACGTGTGTACAGTCAGGCAGCCCTGGAGCTGCAAGCCAGTTCCGGGGCCCAAATGGCTGCCATTTAAGCAAATCACAGCCTCAAACCAGTGTCAAATTGAGGATCTGGGCTAATTAGATCAAGAGCCCAACAGACAACTGCGTGTCTCAGGACCCTGTTCTCTCTCTCCCCCATGTGCTTGAAAGAGGCAAACCTGGGGAAAGGGGAGAGGAGAAATAAAACAAGCAAAAAGTAAAAGTGGGGGGGAAATAATAAAGCCTGAGGGGTTCCCACAGATCTGGGAATCTCTCCCACTCCAGGCAAGACCTTTTGATTTGCAAATCTTTCTGAAGGCAAGGCCTTCTCCCCACTGGAGGGGTTCGAGGTACTCCCACGGGTGTCCATTATGTACACCTCTGCCTATAAAACCATCCAGGAAAATGGGGGGGAGGGCCGGGGAGGCAAAGAGGGCGGGGAGGGGCTGCCCTAGTTAGTGTGACAAACACTCCTTTGAGTGCGTGTGACCCAATACGAGCAAGCCCACGGATATTGATAGAATCTACCGCCACCATCACTCACCCCACTGGCGTCGACAACCTCTCTTTCTGTCCCAAGACACGGGGTCCGCAGATAGCAGCACCCGCCGAGAATCACTTTCCTGAATTATACAAGATCTCACGGTGCTCAGCCGACACCTTGGAGCAGGATGACAAAGCTGTCTGGGCACCGGCAGGCCCCTCTGCCCCGGTGTGGGGGCTGGAGGATTTTGTGAGTTAAGATGCACGAATGCTTCCCCTCCTTTCTATTCTTTTTTTGTTTTTTGTTTTTAATAGCACATGACAGACATCCATAAGAGAGACCCACACAACTCAAGTGAATTATGCAGCCCCGCTCATTTGTAAAGTGAAATGCAGATTTCACCTGCTGAAATTCAGATTTGCCTTCTGGTCCCCATAAACGAGGCTAGCATGGGGAATCTATTGATTTATTATGATTTTTTTCAAAAAATAAAAATAAATAAAAACCCAAACTGCCAAACAAACAACCCAGCAAGCACGAAAATCCCAAAGTATCTCTCTCTCTTTTTCTCCTCTACTCAGGAATAATAAGTGTTAATTTTACACTTCATTTCTCAAAAAAATAATAGGATGTGCTTTTGCTTAAAACCAAGTCAGCCTGCTGAAACCTTTCAGGCTGAAACTGTGTCAGCCCAAAAGAGGAGCAGAGGGCTTTGTGGAAGAGCATCGTGCCGAGATGATAGCTCCCTGTAATGTCCTCGGTACCGACTTTTGTCTCCAAAAGCATTTGATCCCTGGCAGACACATACTTATTTCCATATGGGTCTTGGGGGAAGCCAGGAGGAGAGAGAGCTGATTATCAGAATCCTGAAGGTGAAGCTCAGGTGGGCCCCACTGATGTCAAAGGCAGGCCTGGGCACACATTCGGAGGCCATAATTTGCTGCCTGGGAGGGAGGAGCAGCAGGCTGCAGAGGGGAGTGGACACGGCATTGTTCTTGGGTTCTAATGCACTGAGCGTGACCTGCTCCAGCCATATGCACAGGCCTTGCCTGATCCTTCTCTTAGCAGGGACCCCACTCAGGGACGCTGACCTGGGAGTGGTATCATTAATGCATATACTTCTTTAGAAGGGGGCCAGCGACTGCCGTCTGGTGTTGATAGAGAGCATAACAAGCCACCTCCATTTAGGAAGCAGCAACAAAGGACACAAAAGTTAGAACCAGAAGCTCCTGGGTTTGTGCCCCAGTTGCATCACCCCATTGCTGTGTATCCTTGGGTAAGTTACTTAACCTCTCTGAGCTTCAGTGTCTTCTGCTGAAAATGGTAAGAATAATCACAGGGCTTGTGTAAGGCAGCCAAGCAGGCCGCTTCTGCCACGGGACATCTGCCCTCACTGAAACACCCTTGCCCAGACTGTCTCATTTCATTCAGCTGTCTGCCCAAATGACACCTCCTCAGAGAGGCCCCACTGGACGCCCCTGGCTAAAACAGCGCACGCACGCACACACACACACACCATCCTTTCTAGCACCTTCCCCACCTTTCATTTCCTTGATAGTGCTTACTACCACCTGGCATATTACAGTTGATTGTTTATTTAACTATCTCTCTCTCTCTCTCTCTCTCTCTCTCTCACACACACACACACACACACACACACACACACACACAAAGAGTAATGTAAGCTCCATGACAGCTGTTTGTTCATTGCTATATCACTAGTACCTAGAACAGGGCCTGGCACCTAGTAAGTGCTCAGTGAAGAGGAAATGAACAATTTATGTGACTTACATAAAGCAGTTAGTATAATGCTTGGGACATGAGGTTGGGACGCTGGAAATGCTGTTATTATATACCAGTGGTCACCCCTAATCTCATAGGACTGAGACTTATAACACCTGTTCTCATCTTTGGTAACACTCTCTGGATCCTCATGGAGCAATGGTCTGCCCAAAGAGCACAGACACGGAGAGTCTCCCTCAAATGACAAAAGAGGAAAGGGGCACTTAGAGAGGTAGGGCCCCTTAACAGGGATGTGGCAGAGCTGTTCACCCCCCAGCAGCCTTCTCTGGCTTTAGGAAACACAAGAAAAGCCCACAGGACTTGAGACCTAGGACCCAGCAAGCCACCCTCTGCTCCTTGATCATCCCAAAAATGTGCGTGAGAAAGAAGGAAGACAGAGCTGTCCTCACATTTCCACATTTGAGCCTTGCTAGTGCCAGCTCCAGTTGACAGGGGACTGGGGAGTTTCCCCAAGTGACAGGAGGAGGCAGCTCCTACAACTAACATACTGGGACAGCCCAGGCTGCAGCATTATCCCTGCAACAGCATTTCTGCAAGTGGAAGTAATGCGAGAATGTGCAGGCTGCCTGGCCGGGCTGAATCCCCTCTGTTACAAGTTCTAATAATGAACTTCACAGACCTACATTCCACAGCACCAGGGGTGAACCATAGCCCGCCCCAAATATCAGGTCAAGTAAAGGCCCCTGAGGTCCTGGGACCAGGCTCAGACGCACATATGGCAAGCGGGCAGGCCACACTGCACACGGAAATGAGAAAAGAAAGGAGAAGAGGGCCCCAGAAATAGTCCAAGCAAATGAGGAGGCAAAAGGGTGCTGTGGGAGGGGTGATCCCAGGAGAGGACCCCATCCCAGTACATAACCTTGAACAGGCTCGGAACAGGAAATAGAAACGTGGGCTGATGGGATGGAACAAAGACTATTGGGCAAAATGGAAAGTTTTTTGTTCCTGTAAGGAACAAAGACCCTTGTGCAAAAGAGAAGAGGGCAGGTAATAATATCTGGGCAGCCAGATCAGGCTGTTTATCTATTGATCTGTCATTAAATACCACAAGGAAATTAACCAAGCCAGGCTGAGGGGGAAGGGAGGGGGTGACATTTGGGGTGGGAGTTGACAAGGGTCAAAAGAGAAAACAGGATCTCGGGGAGAGTCCTTCATCAGAGGTCAGGCAAGAACAGGGGAGCAGGTAAGCGGGACAGGGGCTGACTTTGGGATCCCCAATACCCTAGACCCCAAAAGCCCTGGTGAACCTACATCCCTGCTACGCAGAGCATGGATCCCAGACCAGCAGCCCTTGCGGCTCCTGGGAGTTTGTTAGAAATGGAGGATCTCAGGCCCCACCCCAGACCTACAGAATCAGAATCTGCATGTTAAAAGTGCCCATGTGCTTGAGGCATATGTTAAAGTTTAAAAACCACTGAGCTCTATGAATGAGGTTTAGGGACGTTAATCTTGTTGGAATCTTTGTTGTCGTGAAGCTAGGTGTTCATAGCCATCACACCGCTTTGACCAAGATTGTATGTTAAGGACTTTTAAAAAGGTGGAAAGTTTTCAAAGTTGCTTTTTGTCCACACTTTACAGAAGACTGAGAAATCATCAACTAACAATGGAAAATAATTTCCTATTATCACTACTGTGAGGAAAATGATGTGTGTTGTCTCTGGAGGGGCTGCTGGAGACTGGGGGTGAGTGGCTAATGCTCCCCGAAGCCATCCCAGCACCCCCATGGCCCCCAACCCCCAATGCCAGGTGCCCAGAGGCCCTCAGTGCCCCTCATCACTCAAGGACCCCCCAGACATTGCTTGAAGGCATACCCCACCACCACTGCCCCCATTTTGGGCTCACATTTTTCTAATTAATCCTGGAGAAGGAGCTGTGCCCTCCCTCTTCCCCCAGGGGGCACCTTCCCAGGCCTTTCTGGGCAGGAGGGACCCATCTCAGGGTCCCCTGTGTTTCGGAAAGGCTTATAAATGAGCTCTGGCAGCCTGAACCAGGCCCCACTGGGGACCCGGAGCCTCTTCAAAACAGAGCCTGACAATTAGGCAGTCTGAGTTTTGAAAGGCTTGGGATTGATGGCGTGGACAGTAAAAATCTCACCTGGGGAGCTGGGTGTAGTCCTCCGAGGGTTGCCTGAGGTCAGTTTCCATGGTGACGGAGAATGAGCTCAACCTTGTAACTGACCCTTATCTTTTTTTGATCTGTGGGCCACTTGGGGCCAAGGCTTGAAATCAACTGGAAAATAATCTGGTCACATATCAGAAAGAAAACTATTTATACTTATTTACCCAGGTGCCCACCAACATCCCCCTTCCACAATGATGCTGCATGTCCGAACGGAAGCTACCAGGTGGCAGGAGAAACGGGGAGACGGAATCCTGCATCTCAGCAGAATGTGTTATTTCCATGCATGGGCAAGTGGAAGTGGGGGGAAGGGGTTACCCCTGCCCCACAGCCCCCCCCACTTCATTCTTGCTGACCACCCTGGACCCAAGTGCCTTCCAGCACCCAGTTCAAGTGCACCCGGGAGGTGACCGCTGAGGTTTCCCTCCTGCTCACTATGCAGATGCACCACTTCAGTCTGGCTTGGTCCCTAGGTTGCCTCGCTGTATTCCACCCTCTAACGATCCTCCCCTCTGCCACGGCCCGTTCCCAGCTAAGACACTGGACAGAGATGCCAGGGGCCTTCCCCACCTGGGCCCACACTCAGAAGGGACTGGCTGGCTCAACCACTCCAGCACTCAGCCTGGGGTTTCCACAACAAGATTGGCCATGTGGCCAAAGCCCGTCTCCAGGACGCTGCTGACCTAAGTTACGCATGCTTTGCTCACTCCTCCTCAGAAGACTCCAGATGGTTCCACTGACTGACTGCTCCCAAGAGCCATGTCAGATGGATCATAGCGAGGGGTCAGTTATACTTGAGAATGATTCTGGGCAAACTCCCCTTGAGATTTCCCATCACAGCAAACAGGACAGCTCAACTGACTGCCCCCACTTACCCCTGTTCCATCAAGAGGAGGTCCTTTGGGGAGTGGGAGAAAACATGGCTGAGAACTAGGTAGCCTGGAGGATGATGCTGGCTCTCCCATAGACTCATAGGGGACACTGGGCCAAGCACTTCCTTCCATGCCTCAGTTTCCCATCTGTGAAATGGGAAGAAAGTCGTCCACCTCACAGGGCTCATATGAAGAGTAAGTGAGAACCAAGTAAAGAACACTGGCTATAGTGCCACCACCACTGCTACTATTACTACTCCTGTTATTTCTGACACAATTCTGCCCCGAACCTCCATGCCCAGGGTCTGGTAACATGGCATGCACAAGCCCTCTCGGGCTGTCATCGAGGCAGTGGAATCCTCTTCCAGGGCATGTGCCAAAGGGGCACGTCCCCCACTTCATCCCCCCATAGCTGGATCCAGGCAGGGAGCTCCCTTACTTGAAAGGCCCCAATACCCAAAATCCTCAGACACAGGCTGGCCACCCTGGACGGATCACTAATGGAAGCTTCTTCCAGTTCTGCGATCTGATTCCACACAGCCAGGGAACCCAGCCCTGAGGTGCTGGCAGCCCTGAATGGTTGATGAGGTCACTCACCATCTTAGAAGGCCCTACTTGCTAACTTCTTATGACGGCTGACCTCCCAGCTCTCTGACCAGTTTGTCACCTTCAGGACGTGGTGACTGGTTGTCTTTGGCAAAAGATAAATCACAACTCAGGCCCTGAACACAGCACCAAGACACAGGAGGTAACTATCTCCACTACTTAATGGAAAGAGAGAGAACAAATGAATGAGTGACCAAGTAAACCACAGACAGAGAACAAAGTGGGCTTTCACGGAGAACTCTAAGCAGAGAGAACTCAGGGTTCTAGAGAATTTAGAGACTTGGGACTGGTGAGGCTTGAAACCACCTTCCTCACACACATCCCCTCTACTTGTAAAGGACTGAGGACTGAGCCCCTCAGAAAATGAAGACTTTACTACATCTCTAGGAACCCACTAGATAAAAACAAGTAGCTTGTTTGTCCTTAACACACCAAAAACCTACTAATATGTATCACTGATCTTCAGATTAAAGTTTTTAACAAGGCAATTGTTTAAAAATCCATCATGTTAATAATCCTCTGATTAATGGCCTCTAATAATATACAATTAACATGACAGGCAAGCTGCAAAACCCTTATTTTCACTGATGGTGCCAGGGATACGTGAATTACCCCTTCTTCTATTACAAGGGTTTTCTCTACTGCCAACATCATTTTTTGTCCCTACCAAAATCATTTTTTAAAAATGAGCCACAGCAATGTGTCAAAAAGCCAGACACCTACCCATACACACACACAAACACAACACACACACGTGGAATGCAAGAAAGCAACATTTTTCAAAAGTTCTCCATCCAGGTAGACACAGGACTATCCCTGAAGTTACTAACACTTAAAGCAAGAAGACCTACTGCTCAGCTTGGAAACTACAATTCACCACTTCCTAGAAATCCCCTCTGACCATGTTAATTGGACACTACGCATCCCCACCCCCCAACAGAAAAAAATAAATGATGAAACTAGAAAATAATGACTGATTTCTCTTGAAAAGTTTTAAAAAGTATGCATCTGCTAGATCTGTGCTGTCCAATATAGTAGTAACTGGCCACCTCTGGCGATTTAAATCAAAATTAATTAAAGTTAAAAAAATTAAAAATTCATTTCCTCTGTCAAAATAGCCACATTTCAAGTGCTCAATAGCTAATGTGGCTAACGGCTACCAGTTCGGACAGCGCAGAAGGTTTCCATCTTTGCAGAAAGTTCTACTGGACAGCGCTGTACTAGAATGCAGGCGAGGTGAGGGCAGGGGCGCTCCCTGTCTTGTTCAACACTATAATCCTGGAACGGAAAGCAGTGCTGGGCACAGAGCAAATGCTTAAAAAGTATTCAATGAAACATGGTATGCATGTTTCAAAATATTGTGAAGAATGCCTCAGCCCTTTTGCCTGTTAGCACTTGCTTACGATTGCCCCGCGAGGAAAACTGCTTAGGTGTGAATGTCTCTGACCTTCACCTTAAACCTCTACCCTGATAATTATGTGGTCTCTTTGCCCAGGGCAGATAAGAATACGGTGAACACAGGAACATTCTAGAGTAATGAAGTTTCTCTGAAGGACATAACCCAAATACTTTAACTTTGGGCCAATAGGTAGTGAAGATGATCAATAACACCTGGGCTACCAGCTACTCTAGACGCCCACAGGCCACACCACCACTAAGCTGCTTTTCGCTGAGTAACCACGTCCTCCCCAGAAACATCAGAATATCAGCAAGCAGAGGATGCCCGCTGGCAGTAAAGGCCATGAAAGAGAATGACCAATTCAGGGATTTCCCACCTGTTAAGCTGGCTGAGCCCCTTAGCTTGTCAAGGAAACAAATACTTGGATTTCCAATGCTTAACTAAGTAGTTTGTGTGTTTTTTTTTTAGCTCTGCTTCTGCAGGCTACACCTCAAAGAACCAGGTTTTTCTTATGACCTAAGGAAAATGAAAATGGATGCAAAAATGGGAAATTTGAATGCAACGTGGAATAAATGAATACATGCACAACAGTGATACTTCCTCTGAGCAGTCACATGCTTCTAGGATAATACCAGCACTGAGCCTACTCTGGGTAGCAGTTCTTTCTGGGTAGCCGTTGAAAAGCCACACGAGATAGCATGGTTCATAGTCACAACACACATAGCCCTCCAAGGTATTTTCTCAGGTGGAACTTTCCTCTCTTGTCCATTCACCTCTCTCCTCCTTCTCTGTCCCCCTCCCCCAATCAAAATATCACCTTCTTGAGGGAAGCATGGGGTGGCTGCCTTTTTTTCTTCCTCCAGCAGACCCGAGTTTGAGACTGGATGAGGCCTGTGGGATGCCCCCAGCTCCCATTTAACATTAACTCACTGATTTTCTCAGCTCCCAAAACTGGGCTCTCGCAGACCATTATCTGGGATGTTTGGGCGCAGCACGCAGGGACCAGATGGGGGGTCTGCCATCTCTGGGCAGCTTAGACCCCACGGCCCAGCTCCCGGAGGCCAGCCAGTCTGCCTCTGCCCATGCCAGCTTTCCTGTCTGCCCCTGGCTATGCCTTCACCTGCCAGCCAGGCCCCCACAGCCTAAGGCCTAAGCTGATCCCATCCCACTGCCACCCCCAGCCCAAGGAGAAAGCGATAACTGACAGCTTCTGAGGCAGGGGACGGGCAGACTGGGCTGGGAGGAGAGCTGGGGGCGGGTGGAGGCTGCCCCAGGCAGCCCTCAGCTCTCCACGCTGGCTCAGCAAGCGGAACGGCTGCCATAAGCTGTGATGAGATGTGAGCAGCGCTGCGCCCATGCACCGTGGCAGAAGAACGCCCCTCCGTACGGCTCTGGCTGGCATCTTGCCCTTTTCCTTCTTGGAAAAGACATCTTCATATATACCTTTGTACAATGCACATGCAACACCTGGGAATTCACCCTTTGCTCTCCACCCCCTGGCCCCACCTCACACGTCTGCTCAAGTTTCTCCCCTTCAGCTGGTCCAGCATACACTGATGGATAAGCCTCCCCAGGCTCCATGGCCATCATTTCACTCTCTCACTCAAGAACCTCCAGTGGCTCCCTCTCTCCCAGTGTAAATTGTTCTGCCAGATGGCCCAGGCCCCGCCTTACCAACACCCCCACTTCCAGCCACACCCACCCCCTCCTGCCTCAAGGGCTTCCCCACTTGCAGGATCTCTCTCATTCCTGACTCTGTGCTTTTATTCAGGCAGTTCTCTGTGCCTTGCCTCTGATCTACCAGCTACAATTTTCCAAGACAGAGTTCTAGTTGCACCCAAGCTATCCCTAATTATATGAAATAAAAAGGTATCTTTCAAAAAATTCTTCTCTTTGCTTAAGCCAACTTGACTTTCTATCACTTGCAACCAAAACAATCCTGGCTAATAAATTCTCAGAGGCCAAAAAAGCAGTTCTTTTACTCCTCTGGTATTTCTAATGGGGCCAGACAGACACAAGGTGCCCAGTAAATGCCAATGGCTTGGTTGGTGAATAGATTTCTGCTCCATCCCCACCCACCATGGCTCTGGCCCAGGGTTTCAGTGCTCAATGCCACCCCATATGCATGAGCTCCAACACATGCCCCTGG